CATATGTGTGTGTGTGTATAGAGAGAGGGTGAGAGAGAGAGAAAGAGCGAGTCAGAGAAAGGGGAATGCAATCAGTTAAATCCATTCTTTCATCTTTCTCTTCTCCATTTGAAGCAAGGTCGCAATCGGTTTAAAAATTGACTCAGCGTTCAATTTGTTTACCAAAAATAGAGCACAAGTATCATTGGTAGTATAATGATTCGTCTTAATTTCAATTGTCAATGGTTAAGGCAATGTTTCCAGAGTAATCGCCATTAATCCTAATTTTCAATGATTCTTTATAAGATAACTTTAAGCTTGTCCCATAAAAACACCCCTCTTTTCACTCATTACTTGTCAACATTTCACATTTCCATTTTGTTTCATATCAAATTTACGAAAGAATGAAACAGAAAGAGGAAAACGAAAGATGTATGAATATATATCGTTTCCCACGCGTTACAGCAAATATTTTTAAAGGTAAAACAACATGTGATTGTGAGTAGAAGATCTGTCTACATTTTTCCGGATGTTTTTTGACATAGATGAAAACTTACAAAAAATAAACGCCACCTAATCTTTGTGGGACAGAGTACGTTGGTAATCAGCTGATAGCACATATACGATGCAATTTTTTCTGCAATATGCCATAACTTTCATTTCAAGAATCCTAATTTCACCAAGTTGCAAGTGCTCTTCCCTTTTCCTTCCTCCTTCGTCTCTTCCCCTTCCATGTCGGTCCTAACAGTAGCCTGGTATGAATATTAAAGTCCGCTTCATAATCAAGGTAATTCAGAAAATCCAAGTATGTATCGAAAGTTTTCTCCCTGCTAATCGCGCATACATTCATGGAGTTCGAAGACTGTGCATCTCCGCCCAATATGTTGTTGTTGCTGGTGTGTATAAAATCAAAACAACTTTCCAACTCACAGTTTCAATGAAAATGAAATATTGTCCTTCCATTTTCCTTCTCTTTTACATCAAATAAGTAAAATCTCAAACGTTTTACTATCTACCTTTTCGTTTCATCTCTATACCTAACGCTAAATTATGTTCACTATATAGCTATCTAGTATATGCAACATGTATCTAATAATTAATATGTCCTTTTCTTTTTCTTCAAATAACAGTAGCTAAAACATATCCATCATTAACATGTACCAGTTCATATGTCTATCCATTCTCCTCTTTTTTTTTTTTTTTTTTTTTTTTTTTTTTTTTTTTTTTTTTTTTTTTTTTTTTTGCAAAACAGAAATGTAACACTATATATATATATATATATATATATATATATATATATATATATATATGTATGTATATATATATATTGTATGTATGTATGTATAGATATATAGCATTTAACAATGAATCCATTTTTTTCATGCAATATCAACAAACATTAAGATAATCCTTTCTTGCTGAAACAAGAGAGAAAACGGCCCTTAGGCCGCCCACCCCCAACTCAAAAGAAAACATCCCAGCAAACAAAAAAAAATCCATTTTCTTAAACAGCACCAAATATCCCGCCCACAACTCCCTCATCCCTCCCTCCCCTCAGTCTCAGGTGAATTCGCGGGCGTGGCCACGGGCGAGGGGGGCGTGGCCGGCTTCGAGAACGGCACCCTGCTGGTGAGTCGCGCCGAACGCCGCCACGAGGGCCGGTACCTGTGCGAGGCCAATAACGAGGTCGGCGCCGGGCTCTCCAAGGTCGTTACCCTCAGCGTCAACGGTCAGTAACGTGTCGTGGTCGTGTTTTGGGGGTCGTTTCGTCAGCATTTTGATTGTTGTCGCTGGACAGGGAAGGTAGAAGAAGTAGTAGGAGCTGTAGTCGTTGCAGTAGTTGTAGCAGAAGTAGTAGTTTTAGGGGTTGCAGTAGCAGTAGTAGTGGTAATAGTGCGCTAGTAATAGGAATAGTAACAGTAGTAGATGCAGCATTGTAGTAGTAATAGTAGTAGTAGTAGTAGTAATATTAGTAGTGTAGTAGTAAAAGTAGTCGTAGTATTAATAATTATCGTAGTAATAGTAGTAGCGTAGTAGAAAAAGTAGATGTAGTAGTGATAGTGGTAGTAGTAATAATGTATATGTATTTGAATGTTCAAATAGGTCAAGAGATAAAAAGAATAGATATTGTCCATGTATTTATATTATGTTACTATTACTTTTTCTTTGATCATAAAGAGATAGAGGAGTGGGCTAAAGAAATGATTTGATAGTTGTTTTTTTTATTTATTTTTAGCATTATTATCTTTCTTTTTTCTCTTCTTTCTTTTTTCTTTTCTTTTTTCTTTTTTCTTTCTTTTTTTTTTTCCCGTCCCGGGCTCTCTTAGTCTTTTGCGATATATCTCTTACAGCAGGTGCAATTATACATAACCAACAAGCTTAATGACATTCGTTTCTCTTTGTTTATTCAAGAAAGCAAAAAGACGTTGACATTAAATCAACAAGTAATAAGCGAACAGCCTTAACGACCCGATTCCCAACCGCCCACAGAACCGCCGTGGTTCGCCGTCAGGAGCCAGCGCCAGCAGGTGGTCGTGGGCGCCACGGCGACGCTCTCCTGCGAGGCCCACGGGGACATCCCGCTCAAGCTGGTCTGGACGAGGGACGGCGCCCCCCTGCCCGCGCTGCCGAGGTGAGGCCCGTCGAGGTTGAGGAATTCCGGCAATGAATGTAACTGTTGTTTACTATCCTGATATTTTTTCTGATAGGTTATATTATTATCATTATCATAACATTTTCTTATTTTCCGTGTGACTGATTATGGAAGGAACGGTGACAGAATTAGACTGTAAATCATGCCACATTAGCATAGCAGAATTAGATTGTATATCATGTCAAATCATTCAAATACATCATCAGCAGAATTAGACTGCATGTCATGTCACATTCATCGATTACCCTTCATGCACTGCTACCAACACACATGGTTCTCTCACGGCCGATTTCCACCTCCTCGTGCAAGGTATCGAGGGGAGGCGCATGTGCTTAAGATCATAGTGAATAATTACTTCCGTTATTGTAATTGGGAACATTGATATAGTTTTGGGTATTTATTTTTTCCTTGTTAGTTACAGTTACATTTAGCTCCATACCAGTCCACGATAATCTTGCTAGGTGTAATGGGAAAGTACATGTGGTCAAGAGTGTTACAGCTATCATTTCTAAATACAGGCGTATAACAACTAATTAATCAAAGTGAGTCGTAGTGATTAACCAAATAAAATTAGGCCGCAGTTCTCTTATTAGTTATAGGAAATAACGAACACCACAAAGTGATGCACCGAGAACTAACACCAACGTCTCTCTGTTTTTCTTCTCGCCTTCTCTTCTCCTCCGCTCTTCCTCCTTCTGTAGATGTCCCAGGGCCCCCGTCAGGAGTGGGCGTGGAAGAGGAAGGATCTCGTCACCTGACCCTCACCTGGACGCCCCCTGAGGACTCCAATGCACCCATATCCGCCTACATCGTCACTTTCACGTCCCACGATAGTCAGCCCTCGCAAGGTTGGGAGAGAGGCCGGGTCTCTGTGTGTGTGTGTGTGTGTGTGTGTGTGTGTGAGAGAGAGAGAGAGGGGGGGAGTGAGGCAGGGAGAGAAAATATGGTTTTACGTAAGTGTGCGTATTTGTGGGATTTATGTTTTTGTGTATTTATATATTGATACCAAAGTTTATTCGAAAATTAGTTATTTCTTGTGTTTATAAGGAAGAAAGTAACATGATTTCAAAGCCCGTGCTACAAATCCTTATCCACACATCACACACGAACAAATTAGTCTCACAATCAAGAAAATGGAGAAAGCACATCTCCAAATAAACAATCCTTATCTTCAGAGGGCCTGTTCGGCGCCCCTCGCGAAGTGACTGTAGAAGGCGACCAGAGGCGCGTCCGAATCGAGGGTCTCCTGCCCGCTACGATGTACGTGTTCACGGTCGTGGCGGAGAACAGGGTCGGCCGCAGCCAGCAGTCTTCGCCTCTCAGGGTCAAGACACAGGAAGAGGCCCCGTCAGGTCACCCGCAGAATGTCAGGGTAGGTCAAAGGGCTCTATTAATAAAAAGAAAATAAGCCTCATATGCAGAGGGTACTTGTATTCTAATCTATAATATGGGATAGATCATATCCCTATCTTGAATTATAAAAGAAAAATACAGAAACGCGCGCGCACAAATATATGGTGTGTGTATACACACATCACGAACGTACATACACATACACATGAAAACAAATATGGATGGTTGATTGTAAATCTGCAATTCATCAAAGGTGGTGCCAGTGTCATCGACGGCGCTGCAGGTGAGCTGGGAGCCGCCTCATGAGAACCTTACCCATGGCACTGTTCTTGGCTACTACTTGGGCTACAAAGATGATAGGTCAGTGTTTTGCTTGTATGAAATGGTTTTGTCATTATGTCAGTTTTTATTAACTTTCTATGATTTTTTAGTGTGATTTTAGAGTTTAAGAATACAGCTTCGAAAGTTATTTCAGATCTGGCTATCTATAAATTTTGAGTGGTCAGGCCCGAGTAACTGAAATCTGGGTTGCGCGTGCGTAGATTTATGTTCTCGGTGTCGCCTTCCCGTAAACTGAACCTTCCCATTTTCATTATTTTGATCCCCTTCCTCTTGCTAGTGAGTCCGAGGGCGGAGCATACAACTTCACCACCGTGGGCGTAGACAGCGTAGGCGTAACCACAGCCACGTTAGCGGGTCTCCGCCCCCACGCCCGTTATTCCGTGGTGCTCCAAGCTTTCAACTCTCGGGGCGCGGGTCCGGCCTCGCCCCCCGCGCTGGGCACCACGCTCGAGGACAGTGAGTCACGCTGATTTTGGGTGAAAGTTCCGGCTGATAATCTGATTTGGTCTAGTGTACGAGTCTGTATCTGTCTATCCATATGTAGAGTAGATAAGACAGATATAATAGATGTGACCGGTTGTGTGATGTACTTAGATCTTATTCACGGGAAGTAGCATTGACTTGATATTTTCGTGAAATATGATGTATTTCTCTCCGTAAGCATAGTCTCAATACCCACCCATCGCCCCGGCAGAACCTGGAGCGCCACCGGGTCACGTGACCTGTGAAACGGTGACGTCATCCAGTGTGGTGGTGACGTGGTCGCCTCCTCCGCCTCGCCAAGCCAACGGCATAATCACTAACTACAGAGTCACTTACACGCAGATGTTTTCCCATGGTAAGTGTGGACAAGAGGGAAACAAGTTAGAGCAATCACTGAGCATAAACAACACGCTTATGATGTTGATTTTTATATTTTGACTCACTCAAACTATTTATCATTTGATGGCGGCGCTAGAATTGATGTGTACACCGACAATGATTAAATCAGCGATGTATATCTTTTATTATACTCGTATATGCACACATACATACACACCCACACCATATATATATATATATATATATATATATATATATATATATATATATATATATATATATAATGCATATATATATATATATATATATATATATATATATATATATATATATATATATATATATATATATATATATATATATATATATATATATATATATATATATATATATATATATATATATATATATATATATATATATTATATATATATATATATATATATATATATATATATATATATATATATATATATATGTATATATATATATATATATATATATATATATATATATATATATTATATATATATATATATACATACACATACATACATATATATATGTATGTATATGTTTATGTATATGTATGTATGTATATATACATATATGAAATTTCTATTATTTTGACTCTACCCCTCCTCCTATTCCAACAGAAGAAGGTCGGACCGGCAGTGTGGTTTCCGAAGGCCTGCGAGCCACGCTGACCGGTCTGAAACCCTGGACCAACTACAGCGTGAGTGTAGCGGCGTCTACGAGGGCGGGCGAGGGCGTGCAGTCCCTTGCCCTCGTCTGCACTACTGAGCAGGATGGTACGTAGCTTCTTTTTGACCCAAACAGTCTCATGCGAGATCGAGGTGAAACTGCCGCATGGGACACGTCTCTTTCAAATGGGGCTATTTTTTTCGTTGATGTGAATTCCATTATTTGTCAGTTGGTTAATCGGCATAATTCAAGATCTAGAAATTTGGTTGTCATTATTCAAATGCATCATCATTATTGTTTTCTTTTTGGCTTTCTTTGTTAAGGGAAGGAACTATCTTGCAGTCTTTCGTTCTTAAATTATGAATACATAAAGAAAGGGGGAGAAGCTAATCACAATAAACATTTTTTTTCCTGTAGTTTACAGACGCAATGACAGTACTTGATTTTCACGATATTTTATCCTCATTTCTTTTCATCATAATATCCCCATTCTTTCATTTTTATCCACATTCTTTCCTTTTATCCTCACGTCTCCACATTCATCCACATCCTCCTCTTCCATCAGTGCCTGAAGCTCCAGCCCGCGTGAAAGCCGTGGTGTCGGGCCCTCGAGCCGCCGTAGTGTCGTGGGCGCCGCCCTTACGCCCACGAGGCCGCATCACACGCTACACGGTGCACTGGGCGTCGGCGGGGAGTCGGAGCATGCCCCACACCCGCCGCGTCGGCCCTCATGTCACCCACTTGACCCTGCATGACCTTCCACATACTACACATGAGGTGAGGATATTATCTCTTTAGTATCATTTTTACGCCGGAAGGGATTTTGCAGACATAAATGAAATGTTAAAAGGGACGTCGCTGGAATAATGAAATATAGCCGGAGGAGGTAAATGAGGTAGCCAGGGCAGCCTTTTTAGCATTAACATTATATCAGGAAGGATTATATTTGCGCTGTTGAAAGGAGAAATGTTAGACTTCTTAGCATGTATCAGTTATACTGGTATTCATTAGCGTTCATGCGATGGTAATACAAGTCATCGTGTCATTTCCAATATCATACAAGATTTTATTAACATATATGAGAGAGAGTAAGTGCTGTTTTCATAGCATTTGCTTAAGGATAGGTGGAGTTTTGTTCGTGTAGGTTGGACTGTAAATGTAGTGTTTGGTATTTCCAATCTGTTTTTTTAGAAGTCAATACTTAACCCTCTTAAATACTAAATATTTATAAAACCGACGCTTGAAAAGACAATATGATAAGGACTAAGTTTTATGTGATAAAATCAGATCGAACGCATAACAGTCTAAGTATGCTGTGATAAGAACCCATGGCAGACTTGCTCTATAAAAACGGTAAATTAAGACAATTTCCTTTTTCTAATTAATGCACACGAATAAAGCCAACGCACCAATTCCCTCACAGGTATGGGTCACAGCCTCGACGCGGATGGGTGAAGGACCAAAGAGCAGTGTTACCGTCGTCACTCCTTCTCACACAGGTACGATGCTTGGGATGTCTTCTTTCCTTTCTCCATTCCCCATCTTGAGGAAGACGGATAGATGGGATATCTTGTCTTTCTTTCATGTGTTTGTGTTAGATAAGGAGAATGCTGTTTCCCGACTGTTGTTGGGGATACGAGGGCTATTATAGTGTATATTCCGTGTCATTGAAGTTCGTTTGGCGTGATAATAACATGGAATTCAGAACAGAAGATCATAGTTTATGACAATAAGAAGTGGATTTATCATAAATCTAAATCTTGATGGAATTCATGGGTTGTAATCGAAGGACGAAAGCACTAATAACCCCATTACAAACACTGACAAAGGGAATAAGGTCTACGACGGACCTACAATAAAACAAATACCTAATAACCCACAATTGACACTGTGAGTTAGTTGCATAAACAAAATCTATTGTCACCCGTATTTTCACTATAAAATCTTCTCTTCTCTTACGCCTTTCCACCTCCACTTCTATCTCCATTTCCTCCTCATCCCCCTACCCCACCTCATCCTCTTCCCCCGCTCTCACCTCCACTTCCACCCCCGCCCCATCCCCGTCCTCACTTCCACCTCGAACTTCACCTCCACCCTCACCCATTCCACCCCATTCCACCCACACCCTACCCCAACTCCACACACCCACCTCCACCCCCACCTCCACCTTCACCCCCACCTCCACTCGTCCCTCATCCCCACCTCCACCCTCACCCATTCCCCCCTCCCCCCCACCCACCTCGTCGCTCATCCCCACCTCCACCCTCACCCATTCCCCAATCCCCACCCCTACCTTCCCCTCCAACCCCGCCTCCACTCCTACCCCTCACAGTGGGCGCGGGCATATGGGCGGTGGGCGGGAACCTGACAGCGGCGTGGAAGGAGGACGTGAGCTTGCCCTGCGGTGCCGTGGGCGTCCCCGAACCCGTGCTTACCTGGAGCCACGAGACGCTCCACATTCCTGAGTCGCACTCCAGGTGAGTTACACCAACTACAACTACTTCTGTTGCTGCTACTGCTACTACTACTACTACTATTACTACTACTACTACAACTACAACTATTACTATTACTACTACTAGTACTACAACTACTATTACTACTACTACTACATCTACTACTACTACCATTGCTACTACTGCTACACATACTACTACTAATACTACTAGTCTTGCCATGAACTTTCTTTATTTTAAAATGAGATCACGAGTTATAATTGTATGACGTCACAGTGACGTTGATACAACATGCAAATCCAGTATCAGGAAAGAACACAAACAACCTGATAATACAATCATATTTGATAACAACAACCCACCCCCCCCAAAAAAGAAAAAAAGAGTTATAAAATCATTCTAATAAATGAAATGACGAAAAATCATAATTCCTCAAATAGTATAAGATTAAGAATAAGAATTAAGATGATAGTAGTGATAATAAAGATAATAATAATGATGATAATAAAGATAATGAATAAAGATAAAATAATAATGATAATAACTAAATAATGATATGATAATAATAATAATAATGATATGATAATATAATAATGATAATAATAATAATAATGATAATAATAATTAATAAATAATAATAATAATAATAATAATAATAATAATGATAATAATAATAATATAATATAATAATAATAATATAATAATAATAATAATAATAATAATAATAATAAAAACAACAACAAAAACAACAATCTTCCATAAAAAGGAAAACCCTCCAAAGAAGCCGGGAGAGCCAAAGCCCCTCCTCGAACTATGACCTAACCGAGCCTCTCCCCTCAGCAGGTTCACGGTCCAGCCGGACGGGACCCTCACCCTCACCGACATCCAGCGGAGCGACAGCGGCCAGTACACGTGCACCGCCTCGAACCACCACGGCGTCGATTCCGTGACTTACAATCTCACTGTTCTGGGTGAGTTTGGTGTGGTTGTGGGGTTGGGGTGGGTAGGGGTGGGGTAAGAGTGGGTAGGGGTGGGTAAGGGTGGGTAGGGGTAGGGTTAGGGTGGGTAGGGGTGGGGTGGATGTGGGTGTTGGGAGGGAGGGTATGTTGTAGGTGGGGAGGTGTGAGGGTATGGGGGTGGGGGGTTATGTGTGTGATTGTGTGTGTAGGGGGGATACGTGTGTGTGCGTGTGTGTGGGGGGCACGTGTTGGTGTGTGTGTGCGTGAGGGTGGCACGTGTGTGTGTGTAGGGGGGATACGTGTGTGTGTGTGTGTATGAGGGGCGGTGGGGGGGGGGGGGCATGCGTGTGTGTGTTTGTGCGTGTGTGCGTGTGTATTCGGTTGATTTTGTATTCGTGACCACATTGACAGATAGACAGATAACGTCTTAGATATTTCTTTTGTCTTGTTTTTTTTTATACATCCTAACGTATATAGTCTATTCCCTTAATGAGCTGCCTCTACCATAATGACACTCGAAATATCCATATTCATTCAAAAAGAAAACGAAGAAAAAGAAATGCATAGATAAAATGAAGGAAAAAAAAAACATCAAAAACGCCTTGCATCTTCTCATTACCTCCCCCCGGCGGTCCTTCTGCAGTGCCTCCTTCGGCGCCCTCCCTCCACGTGACCGAGACGACGGCCTCCTCCATCCGGGTGCAGTGGAGTGTGGAGGACACGGGCGGCGCGTCCCTCCAGGGCGCCACCTTGCACTACAGGTAGGGCGGGGGCGTTTTTGTTTATTTTTTATATATATATATATATATATTTCTTTTTAAAGGAGGGTTTAATTGTTTTTTGTTTTTTGTTTTTTCTTCTTTTTTTTCTTTTTTTTTAAGGAGGGAGGATTCATTTCCACTAGGATTCCTCTTCGTTTTCTATTTTGTACTGATTTTTTTTTTTTTTTTTTTTCTTTTTTTATTGCGTTTCTCTTTCGTTTTTCTAGTTAGTTTATTTGTTTTTTTCTTTTTTGTATTCATCGTCTTCTTTTTTACTTTCGTCTTTCCATTCTTTTCTTTGGTTCTTATCTATTTTTCTTTCTTTTCTTCTCTTATCTTACTTCTTAATTTCTTCCCTTTTCCTTCCTCTCCTCTCTTCTTTTTTCTTCTTTTTCTCTCCTTTTCGTTATTTTTTTCGGGTTATTTTAATTCTCTATAGTAAAAATCTAATTACAGGTTCAAGATTCTATTGCAGAGTTTTTTTATCTTATTTTATCTTCAATGATAAGCATTTTTAACCATATCCAGTCATCCATTATTAGATAATAAACATATTTCATTTTCATTTTTCCTCCGTTCATCATAAGCCAAGAAATTCTTTTTTTTTACATTTCTAAAGCAACCAACAGTACACACACACAAACACACACACACACAAACACACACACACACACACACACACACACACACACACACACACACACACACACACACACACACACACACACACACACACACACAAAAAAAAAAAAAAAAAAAAACTTCCTTCGCTCTTGCTATTTCTTCGGTGAAAATCCTCACCCTCTCTCTTCATCCATCCATTATCAAACACCCAAAGCTCTTTTATTTCTCATTATCATCCACCTTCCGCAGATCCGCCGGTGGAGAGTGGATGACGGCGGAAGTGGAAGGGTCACACCGCGCCTACACCGCCAAGGGACTCCGCTGCGGCACCCTCCACCACTTCTATCTCACGGCTCATAACCACATCGGTAAGCAGACTGTTGTGCGAATAGTGATCGGGAGTTTGGTCCGAATAAGAGCGGTTTGTTTATCTCTGGAAGCGTTCATCGGGTATCGTTGGGGATTCGGATTTTTTTATGACTAGCTTTGCGGGGATTAAACAGTGGTGGTGAGCGTGCTAATGATATGATTGATTATGATGATGATAATAGCAATGTTATTAACGATAATAGTAATGATAATGATAATAATCATGATTATGATAACAATAATACTGATGATAATGATAATAATCATGATTATGATAACAATAATACTGATGATAATGACATAATAATAATAATTATTATTATTTTTATTACCATGACTATGATAAAGATAATGCATTTCCTATCGCAAACAAAAATTTCAATGGTCCTATTCATCAACAACTCTCTCTTTCGTTTTCTCCTCCCACTCCTTTCTTCTCTCTCCTGTTGGTACCCACCACTCCAAAAAACCCAACCTCCTCCCTCCTCCTCCTCCTCCTCCCCTCCTCCTCTCCTCCTCTCCTCCTTCCTCCTATCTCCCTCCTCTCCCGTACTCCCTCCCTCTCTCCTCACTACTCCCCCTCTTGCTCCCACTTTCTCCTCCTCCTCCTCCTCCTCCCTCCTCCTCCTCTCCTACTTTCTCCTCATCCTCATCCTGCTTTCCTCCATCCTAACCTCCACCTCCCCTACTCCCACTTCCTCCTCCTCCTCCTCCTCCTTTTCTTTTTCCTTACTCCCCTCCTTCCCTTCTCTTCCTCCTCTTCTTACCCACCCCTCCCATCCTCCCACCCACCCTCCTTTCCCCACCTTCCTTCCCTCCCCTCCCCCACCAGGCACCAGCACAGCCTCGTCGACCGTGGAAGCCCGCACGAAGGGACGGCCCCCGGAGGCTCCCCCTCAGTTCCAGTTCGTGACGAGCAACAGTTCTCAAGCCACGCTGTACTTGGCCCAGTGGAGCGACGGCGGCTGCCCCATCTCACACTACTCCGTGCAGTACCGTCTTGCTGGCATGTCGCACGGGTGGTGGGGTGGGGTGGTGAGGTGGGGAGAGGGAGGAAGAGGAGGGGAGACGAAGAGGAGAGGGTGAGGGAGGAAAGGAGGAGGAGGAAGAGGGGAAGAGAGGTGGGAGAGGAGAGGAGAGATGGAGGAGAGGAGTAGGGGAGAGGGAGGAAGAGGAGAGAGTGATAGAGGAAGAGGAGAGGGTGGGAGAGGAATAGGGATGAGGGAGGAAGAGGTGAGGGTGGAGTAGGGATGAGGGAGGAAGAGAAGCGGGTGGGAGAGGAATAGGAGAGAGAGAGGAAGAGGAGAGGCTAGGAGAGGAGTAGGAGAGGGAGGAAGAGGAGAGTGAGAGAGGGAGGAAGAGGAGAGGGTGGGTGAGAGGGAGGAGAGGAGAGGGTGGGAGAGAGGGAGGAAGAGGAGAGGGTGGGTGAGAGGGAGAAGAGGAGAGTGAGAGAGGGAGGAAGAGGAGAGGGTGGGAGAGAGGGAGGAAGAGGAGAGGGTGGGAGAGAGGGAGGAAGAGGAGAGGTGGGAGAGAGGGAGGAAGAGGAGAGAGGAGGAGAGGTGGGATAAGAGGAGGAGGAGCGATTGAGACTTCTCCATCTCACGCTACTCCGTGTGGTATGTCTCACTGAACTATGGGTGAGTGTTGGGGATAATGGAGAGGAGGGTGGGTTGTTAATGGGGAAGAGGAGGGGAGGGGTGGGGGGAGGAGAGAGAGAAAGGAGATTGAGGGAGGGAGGGAGAAAAGGGGGACTGATGAAGAGTGGGGAAGGAGGGAAGAGGGGATGGATAGGGAGAAAGGGAGATAGAAAGTGTTGCGAGAGAGAGGAGGTAGAGAGAGAGAGACACAGATAAACAAATAAACAGAAACACCTCCCAGAAGACCTCACAGCCCCGCCCAATACTTGCAGTGGGCAGCGAGATTCCCCCGAGCCGGACGTACGCGGTGGGCGGGCTGGACGCGGGCGAGCGCTACGAGCTGCGAGTCACCGCCTTCAACTCCGCGGGCGCCACCCCCGCCCATTACAAGGTCATCACGCCCGGGCGCGGAGGCACAGGTGGGCGGCGTGTTTGCATTATGGACTGAGCCTTTTTATTCTTTTTCTTTTTTTTTTCTTTTATTTTTTTTTATTTTTTCAAACTTTGCGTTTGAATCCTTATGATGTATTTCATGATATATATATATAATATATATAATATATATATATATATATATATATATTATATATATATATATATATATATATATATATATATAATATATATATATATATATGATATATATATATATATATTGTATATAGACAGATAGATAGATAGATAGATATATACACAGAAATATATCTTAAGATAATAATATGAGAGAAATGAATTGATAAATAAGAAATAATCAGAAAACACATCTGATTAAAAAACGAAAACAACACAACAGAACTCGTAAAAAAGATGAAATATAGAACAGAAACCTAAAACCGCGCCCCATTCCAGGTATGGGCGTGAGCGCAGGGGGAGGAGTGTGGGGGGGAGCCGCCCCGACCTCCCCCGTGTGGCGCGACCCCCGAGTGCTCGTCCCCGCCGCCGTGTCCGCCCTGGCGCTGCTGCTCACCGTCACCACCGTCTGCGTCTGCCTCAGGAGACGTAAGGGAGAGGAATGGGAGCGATAAGGAGGGAATGGATAGATGGATAGAATAACTGGAAACGTGATTTAGAATTAATAGTAATCAAAAGAAGTAAAAAAGGAGAAATGGGTGGATTTCGTATGATAACATTAGTTATAATGTAAGAAAATAGTGTTTGTGTTGTCATAAAGGATAAAGGGATAGATGGGTGCTAATCGGCATGTAGAAGAAAAGGATAGAATGGGAGATAGAGGAAAATGGGTTATAAGATTATGTGATATTTATTTGGATTTTCTATACTTTTTGGAGCCGATTTTAAACTATTATTACCGATCACTGATAATGAATTCAAAACAATGAATATTAGCCTAATCGCACGATTCGAGCTAAAGTGTAATAAATATTTTTCAATTTAGGTGTTTGTTTGTCTTTTAATTATAAAGAATAGTTGTCCTCTTTATTTATGAGGTATAGATAATAAGTATTTTATTGATGCGGAGACTATAAAGAATGGTATTTATCATTTAAGGGGTATAACGTTTTTTTTAATTTAAGGGTTAAAAAGGATATTTTTAAGGATTATAAAGATTGTTTTCTTTTAGTGGGTAATAAAGAATATTTTTTCTTTTAAGGGTCATAAAGAATATTTTTTCTTTTAAGGGTCATAAAGAATGTTTTTTCTTTTAAGGGTCATAAAGAATATTTTTTCTTTTAAGGGTAATAATGAATAGGTATTTTTCCTCACCTGCTGAATCCTTTGGCCACAGGTCCTAGTAACACCCCGCGGCAGAAGGAGGTTCCCGAAGGCGTCACCTCGTCAGGAGAGGAGAAGACGGCCATGCAGGCGAGGGAGGACGTGTACACCACCGTCAGGAGGCCGCCCCCCGCCCCTCCGCAGTCCACGCCCGAACTCAGGGACCATAACGGTAAGTCGGTGACGTCATTTGGAAACGCGTGTCCTGGGTAATGACGTCATCTGGAAAAGTGTGTCCTTGGTGATGACGTCATTTGGAAAAGTGTGTCCTTGGTGATGACGTCATTTGGAAGAGTGTGTCCTCGGTGATGACGCCATTGTGAAACGCGTGTCCTGGATGCTGACGTAATCCCGTTACCAAAACTTAACGTCAAATTGTGAAATGCGTGACCTGGTGATGACGTCATGGCCCCTGTCTGATTAACGAAAGTAAGATCTTGATTTTTTTCTGTGTATCCTAATGAAACTTTTTGTTTGTGTATGTGTGAGTGGAAGGGTGTGTGTGTTTGTGTTGTATGTGTATGTATGTAAACCCTGTATTTACATCCATGTATACATACAGACATATACATGTTTGCATATTTTTATAAAGTAATGTATTATAAA